GATAGATAGATAGATAGATAGATAGATAGATAGATAGATAGATAGATGTACATGTTTGTGTTTGACAGGGGCCATATTTTCCAAATGATTAATAGTAGTTCCATCTCTCCAGTGAAGGCCAAGCCATACTCAGTATTTCCCTAAACCCGCCATAACTTTGCAAAGTGTCCTTTCACAGTCCTGCTTCTATAGCTGAGTGGTTGCGACAAAGCGCCCAGTCCTTCTGTCTCGTCGTTGAGTGGTGGGGAGGTGGCAGTAACGCGGTGACCTCCTGTGGGACTTCTTTTTGGAGCTACGTAACATGTGAGGGTCTGGGGGGGCTGGTAGTCAGGCCTCCTCGCCCGTGGCGTCTATTCCAGCATAGGTGAAGTTCTCAAAAAGAGCCATGTTCACGTAAGCCTAAAAAAGAACAGAGGATTTTCATTTAGCAATTGCATCTTGTAAAAAATATTTGCGTGGAGGACAGAGAACTATCTGATTACAAAGATTTTTCACATACAAGTGGCTTTTGTACATTTCTACTTCATTGATTTGTGGCAATGAGTGAAGTTTGTCATCTAAAAGACATATATGTTTTTTCATGCTTTCCTTACAGTGAGATGGAAACATTACCTTCCGAGTTTCTTGCATCCTGCTCAGTTGGACAGAGATCTGGGAGAACGGGGGTCTCTCATAGGGCCGATCTCTCCAGCACTGCCTCATTCATTCATAACTGGAAAGAGAAAGATTAATACATTTTGCTTAGTATTTGGAAAAACGTTGTTCATAACGTTTTTATTCAATTTTCACTAAGAAGGAAAACTTCACAATGGGAATGAAGGAATACACTCATCAATAGCTACAAGATGCAGAATACTTACACCTCATCATCACAGTTTTTAGGTTTTTCCATCCTGTAGCCTTGTGGCAACTTTTCATAAAGCTCAGCGCATGTCATCCCACAATACGGTGTGCCACCTGAAGCACACACATAGAGACACACAAGCTTGGACCATGGAGCACTATAGGATCTTAGTCTGATATGTAATGTATCATTAAGCGCATGCTGGTTGATGTCAAAGGCTACCTGGGGGTCAGTCTCTTCTTGAATATCTGTACTTTAAAATAGCATTGCTGGTACATTAGTAATATTTAGCAAGAATACAAATAGAGAAACAGCAAACTACTTGATCATGATTTTAAATGTGTCAAGCGCTGATAAAGATCCTCACCATCATGTTACAAACTGTTTGACTGACGAAAAATGTATACGGTGCAATATGTTGTAACTACTCGGAGCATGGTAGCAAGTTGTTTGCCATTGAAGCTTTGAGACCTGTGATCTTCACTATACATCTAAGTACATGTAAAGCTACATTCAATTTTAAGGTTCCCCGTGAAGGCGTCTTCTTACTCACCTAAGCTTACAATTTCCCAAAGGAGAACACCAAAAGACCACCTAAGAAGAGGACATTAAGATCAGACAGAGCTTGGATGAAAACACTGATCTGTTACATGAAGCTGAAAACAATATCCTGCTTTAATGTGCATATTCAGGGCCTCGCAAATGATCTACGAACAAGTCATCATGAAATATTTTAGAACATTCTTGTTTACATCTTAATGAGACATGACAGAAAAGATCTAATAGCAAATTCAAACTTTTGATAAAAAATGCATGAAACAATTATAAAAGTGTGATTGTTTTTCTCAAATCAACATGGAAAGTAAAAAGGAACCACTGACTGACTTCTCTCAGCAACATGAAACCACAACCCTTTCCTGCAATCTGATAACAAAAAGAAAAAAGACAAAGACGATAGGCTATGACACAAGAGTGTGTGGTAGATTGCATGGACAGACAAGTGTTTGTTCTCAGTTTTTTGTAGGGCTTTGTCACTCTTGTGCACTACTTTTTGGGGCACATCTTATTTGTTTTATGCCACTCAGATTTGCCCTCTCTCTCTTTTTGTTTACAGCACTCTCTGACCCGTGAGGGTGCCTTTCCACTCCTTCCGTTAGCTGTCCTCTATTTCTCTGTGTATAAATAGGCCCCATTTGACAGAACAACAACTGTCTGTCCGCTAAGTTGAACCCAAGGCTTCCTGGCTGTGCTTATCAGCAACACAGCACACTATCATCACTCTAACAGTGACAGTGGGTTGATTTGTTGTTCTCTGTGGCAATGCACTTTGGAGTATATACAATCAAAACTTGATTCAAGGCTGTAATGTTTTCAGTAAGGTTTTGATAAATAATGTTGAAATGAATATACGGTAAACTCTGTGATCTTGATTTGCTATGGGTAAAAGCATGTTAAAATATGGATGTTTTCTGAGCAAATGTACAGATTAAGTAACTCACACATCACTCTTGGTCGTATACACGCTGTAATTCAGGGACTCAATGGCCATCCAGCGTACCGGCAGCCTTCCCTGAAGACAGGTAACAGATTCAAGTGTAATTCTCTATCTCACAGTTTATGACAATTATCGTAGGTAAGACACAAAACTCATCGATATTCACTAAATAACCAAGCAAGAATGAATTAAGCTATTCAAAATGGTTTGTTTACATATAATTTACATTATCTAGGAGGTCTCATTGAGTTTACGAACCACTTGAGCAATAATCTTCACTAATGAACCAGCACATCTCACTGCTGTGAAGTTTATACTTTTCAAAATTACTTGTTGTCTGCATGATTGTGGTGAGAATACAATCCATGTGCCGTATTAAGGTGATTGCCTTGTGTTAGTTGTTTTTTCCCCCTGTGTTTTGTTGTTGGCACTTCCAAATGAATGTTTTGGATTGTTAGAATGTGCATATTGCAAGCTATATCACATTTTAATTAACTGAAAATGTGAAATAGAACTTTGGAAATGTCCAATACAGACAAAAAAGGGGTTTGACACCAGGTAATTCTTTGGTGAGCCATCAAATAAGGAATTACACTAGCAAAGCGCAAACTGAGCTCAACAATGTAAAATGTAGCATGGTCAGTGAAGCTGCTCAAATGTTTCCTCTGTCAGTATAATCAGTAACTAGTGAAATCTCACGCCCTCTGCTGGCACCATGTATAAACTACTCACCATTGTCTTCTTAACATAAACTTCTTCACCACGAGACAGACCAAAATCTTTGCCACAAGATTGTCCCCGACAAGAACATTCCTTGCTGCCAAATCCCTGTGAATGAACTAGTGCCAAAAGAGCAAAGAGGGAAGAAGCAATGTCATAACAAGTTAGAACTGATTTTCCAATGGGACTTATAACAATGATAGAAAGTACCTAAATAAGAGGGCTATGTGACCCACCCATTGTAGAGGTGCATACAAAACAAAATCAAATTCACATATATTTTCGTCTCTCACCTGTTTGTCGCTGAGGTAATGCATCCCTGTCGCCACATCCACAGCGAATTGCAACAACTGCTGTGAGGTGAGGGTGGAAGCAGTACCATGCTCTTTTGCAAAGGCAGGGTCAGTCTCCAAAACTCTGCTCTTCCTTAAAAAGTCAAGCAGGTTCCCATAGGGTGCATATTCTATTGCTATATACAGGTAACCTGGAGAGAAGAAAGACACAGAGGGAGACTATTACTGTATTTTATATGGAGATTGACCCCTTAATCATTACCATATTAGTCCATCCTTTATTTTTGTCTAATTTGAATATATATAAATATATATTACAGGGACGAAAAAAGTCATGCCTGGTGGTAGACAACATTGTCCCATCATGTTGTGTAAACTATTACCAGCATAGCTAGTTTATCATAATTATAATAATTTCGTCTTTTTTCAAAAACTGTTAGAGTGGCCTTGCAGTCCCTTGTTGCACCGACCCTGGGGGAGAATCACCTACAGATGGTAAGGGGCTTGGCCTTCGACTTGACACAGCAGAGGTAGACCAGAGCTTTTACAAAATCCTCACAGAGCTGAACCAGATGGCTGAGTGTTTCTC